ATCTACTTCTTACTTCTTACCTTGTTTACAAAAATGTAAAGAAACTTTGGTTGCAAAATTATTATTATAATAACAAAGTATTTGTAGTTACTGTATTTACTTTACAGCTCAGATTATTTATCCTTGCTGATGACAGTTCCAGGTTTGTAATGTTCACATTATCTCAACCAGCAAATAAAAGCTGTGTCACAAGGAGGCTTCAAACTCTGAGCTATAATTTTTTCACTGCAGCCAATCCTGACAACCAGATTCTACAAGTTTTCTCCGTTAGAGATGGCTGTGAATCATTTAATAAGTACACAGCAGCGTCCACAGGGCGAGGAACTCCAGTTACTTCAGAAAGACAATGTGTTACTTTGACGCAGAAATCCTGATCCCCTGGACATTCCCAACCAATATAAATGAAAGAGCCCAGAGTCTACAAACTAGAGTTTAATTCTGACAGGAATAAGTTAATCACTAGTCTGAATTTGGCCATGACCAGAACAGACTTGAGATTTTTTTAACTCCAGATACCACATTTTAATGTTCCTTGCAAATGCTGTTTATAATTTGTTGCAAACAAAACATACTATAGCTACCTTAAAGCTATCTACAACAGGTAAGATAGTAATTGTTCATAATTGTCCCTTTAATGGGAACCAATGCGATCAGATGCTTGTTTGTCTGATGATGGATCAAATAAAACCAAAGTTCAAAGTGAAGTCAAAGTGGATTTATTGTCAAATCTGCACAATGGACAGGATGAAAATTATATTACTTTCTGCACGGTATGTACGGTAGAAATGGTATAAAGTTGGCCTACGGTAGAAATTTACCCTCTACCGTCCTGTCGTCAGTTACGTCATCGCACCTGTGTCAACATGGCTGTGAGTGCAGAGACAACTGAGCAGGAGGAGTCCGAAATATTTGGAAAATAAATGAAAAAATAAAGGGTTTTAAAACACGTAAAGAGAGAATAAATCCTCAAAATTCCCCCCTCCCACTGCAGAAAAGTTACGTCAGGATCAGCTTTAACAACCGTAGATTTCACACTCAAGTTGTTGGAGAAAAATCTTGTTTTTTTATGTATTGTTACCCAAAGAGATGATAAAAAAGATGTGGACGTTCGTTCAGTCATAAATCCATCTTGCTAATGTAACAGTCGGCTTCTGCTCTGAATCATGATGAAGATGATGAAGATGAGCGAGCAGCAGAGCAGCTGATAAATTCAGCCGGCAGCAGCTCTGTATGGCAGGCACATGTTACATTTATTTGGCTTTACCACATTTATATTCTAGTTATCTGAAATTGTTTTATGGCAGGACTATGTGCAGCTTAATTTCCTGTCACACTATAAACTTTTTGGCAACATTGAATTTTTTTATATTTTTTATATTTATCATTTATGTCTAAATGACTAATTTTACTTGAAGTACTTATTTTGATATTGTTGAAAATTTGAGAAATGTTTTTGTTTGTTGTTGAAACTGTTTTACTGCGCAATATATAAAAACTTTCTTTTGTACTTCTGTTATGTTCATTTGCACTACAGCAAAAATACTGGGTTTGATAATGATTACAGTTTTCTGCCAAATAAAAAAGCTCCAAAAAATTACATTATCTTTGCTTTTTATGATAATTTTCTACCGCGATATATACCGTTACTGTGAAGAGATTCAATTTATACCGTGATATGAATTTGAGGACATACCGCCCAGCCCTAAATTATCACTACTTTTATAGGGCTCTGTATGTTGTATTCATGATTAAATACAGCAAAATAAACAAATTCAAAGGTAACAGATTTGATTTGATTTGATTTGATTTATTTATTTAACAGGAAAAGATTATTAAAAATCAAGCCTGACTCAGCATAATTGCTGTTTTACAGCAGGTTCCTGTTCTGCAGCACATAAAACACTCAGAATTACAGCATCACAATCACATCATTATACACCATAGACACAAAGATAAACAAGCATACCAAATTTCAGGAAGGCAGCATTTGCAAAATAGGACGTCTAAATATGAGCACAACAAAAAGTGTCCAGCAGATGGCAGACAAGAGTCTTCTTAAAGGGCTGTAGTTTTGAAATGGACTTTATGTTTTGAGGAATGTCATTCCATGCTTTAGTATAAACATAGAAGAAAGACCTCTGGCCGTAACAGTTTTTAAAAGTTGGTAATATCAGTTGTCCTTTTGTAACAGATCTAGTTGAATGACCACTTCCAGAATTTGATTTGGGCAGCAATGCACAGAGAGTTCCATAATTGGCACCTTGGAAGATCTGAAAATATAAATTAATACCACTATACAAAACATTGATAAGGCATCAGACAATGAAATAACTGTACAGTGATGAGTCCAACCAGGAAGTTTTTTATGAATTTTGTAGGCCCTGTTGTAGAGCCTAACTATGGGTTCTAAGATTTCATTTGTTGTAAGAGACCAAACAGGTAAACAGTACGACATGGTTGAGAGTATAATGGCATGAAGATAGATATTTGAAACAGAAGATGTCAGATTGGATCTAATTTTTGAATAAACATATAATTTCTGTTTCAACTTAGTGGTTAAGACTTGTACATGATCACGATAAGTCAAATGAGAATCCAAAGTAATTCCAAGATATTTGTAGGTAGTGACAATATCAAGGGGTTTGTTTAAAAAAGTGAGTTGATTTGTTATATTGAAATGTCTCCTGGGTGAGGAAAAATACAGATCCAGATCTTTGTAATACTTAGTTTATTTACATAATAGCTTTAATTGCTGGATGTTCGGCCCCTGAGCTGTTGACCTGCAGTAACTGTGGCCCCCAGAGTGATTTAGATGAATAGCCCTGCTTTTGGACACTCATTCAGCATCCAAAGAAGATTTTATCCCTGCTCGTCCACAGGTAGCAGCCGAGGTGTTAACCCACTGTTTTCTGCTCAGGTCAAAGGTCGCAGAGCAGAGAGTGACAGTGGGTCACCTGCAGGGTCCATGCTGCAGCTGCAGGCCGGACGCAAGATCAGCACGAGCCTGCAGCATTTCCACCGACCAGGTAACACACACACATGGTCCAGTACAGCTATCTTTATGGGGACATTGCATTGACTTCCTTTAATTTTTACAGCCTAACCCTGACCCCTCACCCTAAACCTAACCTCATACAGTACCTGACCCTAACTCAATTCACTCATAGTCCTAAACTGAACCCCTGACCCACCAATGACATTTCCCCCCATGGGGACTAGGTTGAGGTAGGGTGTACGTATGCCTGCCCCCACATTGTAGTGAAAACCTCATTCTAACCAAGGGGCTGATGTGAAAAGACACAGCAGGTAATCATTCTTCACCATCAGTTGGAAATTAGCGTAAGCTAAATCTGGGCCAAGCATCTTTTTAATGTTTTATTTGCACATTGTCCCTATTTTTAAATAAAGGAATTCTAAAAAAAAAAAAAAAGAACAGGGGTGCCCAAACATTTTCCCCAGGACGGCCAAAATGAAAATCTATCTGTGGCTGTGGGCCAAATGCAGTAATGAAATACAAATACTTTTAAAGTAAAGTCCTTTATTTTTAACAATTAAGCTAGCAGCCAGTGTGGTGACCCACTTTTGTTTTTACTTTGTGCACTTGGAGAAAGTCTGCCATACGCTCAAGTAGTAAAGGCTCATGGGATATTTCATAAATGGATAAAATATGAATTTTTGTGGTTTTATAAACTGTGCAAATCTATGTGTGGTCAAATCTAATCTAAATATCTCTTGTTGTGACTTGTATTTCATGTTTCATTTTTAATCTTATTATATCAAAGATAAAGTCAGCACCATGAGTGAAAACCATCTGCACCACTGCCCCTTATATAGTCATTGGGCCAATGGATGAAATGACTAAGTGGAAATACTGTTTCTACATAGGAAGACAGGTTATAGCCTAGTAACTATGTCAACTGCTGGTGGGCCAAATTTGGCCCTGGGGCCCCACTTTGGGCTCCTCTGGCCTAGAAAATGTGAAAAAGTAAACATGTTAATTAACTTGATTATAAAATTAGATCAGTTCATAAGATTTAAAACTTCTGTTTCAAAGCATCAGTTAGACAAATGTAAAAGTAGAAAGAAGGGAAATAAAAAAAATGTTGGGGTTTAAATCTCTTCAGCAGCCAGAAGATAAAACCTTCTGTCAGAAAAGCTGGAGACGTTGAGAATTTCACTCTGAAGTTCTCGTGTTTTTCAGATAACGGCGCCAACATCTACAGGAAGCCTCCCATCTACGTACAGGGTAAGCTCTTGTCCCCCCCCCTTCCCCCCCCTCTGTTGTGTTTCACTCGTTGTCTCAGCTTCAATGCTCGGCTCTCCTCAGACGTTAACAAACACGCGGAAGGCCGCGGGGTCATTCAGTCCGCCAAGTTTCCTGCCGCTCAGCCTCCAGACCCCAACCAGCCCTCCAAGATCGAGACAGAGTACTGGCCCTGCCCGCCCTCGCTGGCTGCCATGGGTAACACACACACACACACACACACACACATTAAACACAAGGACCTCTCAGATGAAGCGAGTCTTAACTTCAAGGTTGATTCCTGGCAGAGATCGAGTGGAACAAGAAGAAGCTGCAGGAGGAAGATGAGTTTGAGGACTTGACAGAAGAAGCAAAGACCCTGCAGGAGCAGGAGCTGGAGAAGGTTGGTGCATCCCCCAACATCTGGTCCACGTCTGTCTGTAGAACCTCCATCATACCTGCTCTGTCCATCATAATGTATCTCTCCTCTGAAAGTTTGTACAATTTGTTATCATAGGCTATTTTGTGCGCAACTGTTTAACGTTTGAACTTAACACGATACAAGATGGCCGCTACATCGAATCAATCTTGGCAGTTAAGTAAAAACTGCCCACCTTACCAAGTTTTAAAATCTTATATCAGCCAAAAAGTCTTTTTTATCTTGTTTTGAGACTGATTTACTAAACAAGAACTGATTGTGTAAGAATAATAATCTTGTTTTCAGAATGTGTCAGATTATTTGTCTT